TGATGTTGGGTATTTGGATAATATATTTTTATAAGCTTGCTGTATTAGGAAAGGATGTGTGGAATGTTTCGGGAGTTCTTTTAGAGACATGTCTATTTTTGGACATTTACATGAATAGGCATAGTAAGACTAAACTGTTCTAAATTAAGACCAATACGTTTTATTCGTTCAGAAAATGGTAGGTTTTTTATTGCAATGTTTCTTTAAAGATCGAACGATATATTTGTTCTGCAAAGTATTGTTGAGTAGGTAACGTTGCTGTTGTTTACTGAAATTCTGGCAACGTAATTTATTGATAGGAGTTTCCTTTGTTGGTATAAGGCAGTTCATTAGCCAGAGCTTGTAAGCAACTTACTGGACCAGTTCTTGTTGCACCTAAAACTACTCTCAATCACATATTTTGAATGTAGTCAAGTTTTTTTAAAGATGTTTTGTTAGCAGTATCGTAGCATAAACAGCCGTAATCTAGTTTACTTCGTATTGGTGATCTATATAGAGTAAGTAAGGTTGTTGTATCTGCCTCCCAAGAGGTATTTGACGGCATTTTTAGTAGATTAATTCTGGATTGGCAAGAACGTTGCAGATTGGTGATGTAAGTTTCCCAGTTTAAGTTACGTCTTCTGCTTGTTTCAGGACAACTCCATTTAGTGTTATTTGGACATTAGGATATTTTTTTCTTTTGCTAATAATTAAATAACGTGTCTTTTTACTAGAGAATATAAAACCCGTGTTTTGCGACCAGCTTTCAATTGTGTGTAAGGTAGTTTGCAGTATAAGTGTTCCCAAAGTTACATTGTTTGTTCTTAGATAAATCATCTAAGAACAAACATCATAAGTCATCTGCATATAGGCTAGTAAATACAGGTAGTTTTATTTAATGTATAATACTATTTATTGCAACTAGAAAGAGAGTAGGACTTAGAGTAGATTCTTGTAGTGTGTAGTTTTGAAGTACTCGTCTAGAAGATGTAAATCTAGTGGTTCTAACTTGAAAAGTTCGTGTTTCTAGAAAATTTTTAATAAAGGACAACATGTGACCTTGAACATCTCATTCTTGAAGTGTTTTCAGTATAAGATGTCTCCATGTTGTGTCAAACGTTTGTCTTATGTTAAAAAATATGGCAAATTCCAAAGTTTTTGAAAGTGCAGAAAGGATTCATGTATACTTGATTCAAGTGTTATTAGATTGTCTGTTGTGGATCTACCCGTATAAAACCACTTTGTCTGATACTTATTAGGTTATTGTTTTTGAGGTACCATTTAAGACGATAATTAAGGAAGTTTGCAGGTACAACACGTAAGTGATATTGGACGATAGGAATTTGGATCGTCTTTTGGTTTATTATATTTAAGGATTGGAATTATAGTTACTTGCGACCATAGATCAGAAAAGTCATGGTGAATAAAAATATTATTAAAAATATCAACTAATAAATATTAGCTTTGCATTCAGAGGAAATTTCGTAAGAAAAGAGGGTGGATATCATCAGGACCTGGACTAGAATTTTTAGCACTTAAACAAAATTCTAATTCTTGAAGACTTACTGGTTTGTTTATTGGATTGCCGCTTTCCCTGATTTGTATATTTGAAGATTCCGTTAGTTTTTTGTGCTCTAGAAAGGATAGACTGTAAATGGAATCGCCAGAAATAACTTCGTATATATCTGCTAGTGTTTCTAGAATATCTTCTTTGTTTAAATGCGTTTAGTTATTGTATAATATAGTATCTATACTTCGAAAGTATTTTGTCCCTTTTATTCTGCGGACTTTGTTCCATATGTTGCCTAAGGGAGTGGAAGGATTTATTGAAGAAACGTACTTTTTCCAACTTTTGCTTTTTTGATTAATTGTCTGCTTTGGGCTCTGAGATTTATAAACCTTAAAAAATTTTCGATAGTTTTATGTTTCTTGTAAACGTTAAAAGCGTGTTAAGACAAAGTGAGTGCTTGTTCAATTTCGTTATTCCACCAAGGAACTGGCTGTCTTTGACTCGATTTTGTTTTTCAAACTGCGATTGTTGCTGCAGAAATAATAATGTTATTAAATATTTCAAGATTTTGGTTTGCGTTATTGCTTAAATTAGATTTGTTTGTTTCTTCTTCTATTAGTGTTCGATATAAATTCAAATTAGCGGACTTTATTTTCCATGTCTGGTGAATTGGAAAATTTGATTTATCATTAGTGTTTATGGTTATCGTGATAGGGAAATGATCACTATCATATAAATACCGAAATGTGTACCAGTACAATAAAGGAGCTAGCGACGTACTGCATAAAGAGAGATCTATGGCAAAAAATGTACCATTGTATGAATTGAACCTAGTAGATTTGAGTGTTTAGTAAAACTAAATTTAAATTATCAATGAGATTATTTAGGAGATTGCCACATTTGTCGGTTTTGCTACTTCCTCAAGTACTCTTGTGACAGTTAAAATCGCCTAATATTATTTTTGGATGTGGAATTTGGTTTAAAACATTGCTTAGTTCAGTTAGGTCTAAATCAGTAGGATGAGGTATACATTGCAAATATTGATTTTGATTTTGTGGGTGACTGACACTGCAACTATTTCGAGATTTGTGTGCAGTCGTATTTTAGTTGACGCTATGTCATCACTTACGAAAATTGCTGTTCCGCCGCTTGAGTGATCTGCAACTTGGTTTCTTAGAAAAGGAACATAATTTTTTAATGTCACATTTTGGTGCTTGAAATGGGTCTCTTCTAGGCATATGACTAAAGGAAGATATTCGTGTATAAGAAGCTTAATGAATTCTATATGTGTAAAATAACCATTGGGGTTCCACTGTAATATGAATGTGCTAGCAACTCTTTATGTGTTAACTATTTATTGTTGAGAACTTGATTCGTAGTCAGTTCCGTCAGTAGAAGAAGGACTATTGAGAAGCAGTTTCTTCTTCAATCTAGTGATATTGTTTTTTAAAGTTTTATTTTGTATTTGAGAATATATAAAGTTTAAAATTTCTTTTATTTCTTGGCTTGCATTTGAATAATTTTTAACAATACTTTCAGGATGTTTTGAGTGAAGGGAATTTGCCAAAAAATCACATATTTCATGAAAAGTTAGTGTAAAAGAAGGGTTTCTATTTTCAATTTTTTCTTTAATTTGATTTAGCATAATTGAAATATCTTCTTGGGTTTTAGGCTTTTTCTTAGGTTTTTGAGTATTGGGAGGAGGTAGGTCATTTTTAAGGATTTCAGGAGACGAGATTTGTCTTAGCAGCAGGAATAATTTCAGTGGTTTTTCTATCACTTTCAATTACTAAGGAATTATGTTGAAATATTTTTGGTTGATTCAAAATTTGTAATTCATTTTTTGTTTGTGAGGAAGTGGTTTGGTCTTTTGTACCCGATGCGTGATTTTGTATGGTATTGGGTTCTGGTTCCATTAAGTTTCGGTATCTTCTTGGTATTGATTTCGTGGTTGATCTTGTAGCTGATTATATTCTTCATTGGTAGAGTTATGTAAATTCACGTGGTGGTTAGTTTCCATTTGATTAATTTATTTGCTTGATGATGATAAGGAAGGACAGTCAGAATAGTGATGTCCAACAATCTTGCATTTGGAGCAGTTTAAACCATCTATGGAAATGTATAGTCGATATAATGTATTGTCGAATAAGATGAGAAATGAGTCAGGGATTGATGCATTTTCTAAAGGACTTATGAACATTTGTCTCTTAAAGCTGAGCACGTGGCTGTACTCTGGTCTTGCATGCCTACCCGCAGAAACGTCATGTTGGAGGCGGATTTTATACCCATAATTTTTAAATGCTCTTCAATTATGCTATTAGGTATAGTAGGGCATACATTAGATATGATGAGTCTCTGGGCAGGGGTTATAAGTCTTCTTACTTCAATCTGGTTACCATCAATATTTATTGCGATTTTTTGCTATTTTGGATGCCCAAACAACAGTTTTGGGCTGTACTATTGATCCAACAGCTTTTACATATTCGAAAACTTTTATTCCTTGTATGGTTGAAAGTATAATACCTTTGTCTTTTGAAGGATATTTGAAACTGTCTAATGCATTGGAGTAAGATTTATGTGACGTAGTGGGTATATTTCGTTAGGTAGTAGCTGATTCCGGTTCATCCATCTTCCCGCTGAGAATTTTTGTACATTGGCACAGATGATCTAAAACCGAACCTGGCCGCTTGACAAAATTGAGCAGCAGCCTAGCCTAATTACTTGTTAGAAGCAAGAACCAGCAAAAAGTTGTTGTCGATAATCGATAAGTTGAATTGAAAATGATAAAATATTTTGCCTTTTAAACTTCTGATTTTAGGTTATTAATAATGCAGTTTTGTACTCACAGAATTCTACGATTTTCAGTGCACTGTCACTTTAGTTTTAAGTTGCAAACAGTATAAAAATTAAATTATATTTTTAATTTTTAACTACTAGTAATTAACAAATTTGTCAGAACCGATATTAAGCTGTATGATAAGGATAAGCTAGATATCGGGGCCGGACTACCTCCAAAATATCTATTTACCAAATTTGTGACTCTCTACGTGTAGATTTTCGTAACACGTAGTCGACAGATTTCTTTTTGCATAACAAAATATATTATCGTTCTTTGGTTAAACGGTTGAATTTAGAAAAAAATGTTATATGACTTTTTGCTCTACAGATAAAAAATCAGCTGTAAATAGTTTATTAAATATATAAATTCCCTGCAAAAAACGTTTTAATTAATTATTATTTAATATTATTCTAGAAAAAGTAATTAACAATTTTAAAGTGGTCGCCATTTTTGCAATAATTTGTAAAGATGCTTATTCTGTATTTCGAAGGTTTTTAGGTCACAAAGAAGAATAAGTCAGCTCAGATTAAAATCTTAAAGTAGTTTTACTCAATTGAAAAAGCACCACTCTTTTTGCTATTAACGTCACTATTACTATTTTTTTCTAAACTCTTAGTTGTTGCCGCATATATTTTTAAAAATATTTTACTTATAACCAAAAACATATTTTACCTGATAAGTTTGATTTACAAATATTTGGTCCTCATTAATAACAGCCAGTTTGCTTAATTTTGGGTTAATAACTTGTTTGTATGAAACTAAAAGGCCCAAATTTTTTAAATTAATATTAGGTGATCCACAATTTTGTACTAACGTTTTCGTGAATGATTTAAAAATTTGCTGAAAATCTTCCAAATTGTTTGAATCTGTAAAAAAAGTAATAAATATAATAAAAACTGCTAAATTGTTGATATAATTATAAACTTTTTTTCTCCATACATTTTAGCATATAAGCTGGTCATGAATGTTGATGTTCTTTCGGGGTTCTTATTGCTCTTTTTACATTACTCATCTTAATCTATTTTAGATTACTCTTAATAAAGATTGTAACTAATAATGTTGTCTCTATGTTAGTCCTTACGGTGTGTGATCGTTTTCTGTTTCTTAATTCGATAATCTGATATTCTCCACGAATATGTAGAGAAGCTGTAAGCTATTAATCTCTTTAAAAAGTAATGTATTTGTCTTTAATCGTTTGGTTTTCAAAGGTATTAAAAGCTTTTAACGTTCTATGATTGAATATTGTAATTCTACACCACATTTCAAATGCGTCAATTCTTTTTCTATTTTATTTTCAAATGATCCACATCTTAAAGCCATAGATAAATATTGTGAAAACAACGACAAACTTTCTATATTTATTAAAAAAAAACATGTATAAATCACTTCCTTAAAACCAAGAAAAAGTACATTAACACACATTTTATCACGAAAGAACTTAACAAGGGAAAAATTATAAAAAATAAAATTAAAAAAGAGATGACAGATGTAGAAGAACAGAATGGCAGATCCTCTATAGACAGTATATTCTCTCTAAAGCAAATTATCGAGAAAACATTAGCCCACAACCTTTCAACTCATATATTGTTAATAGATCTGACAAAGGCATACGATAGTGTACCACTTTCAATGCTTTGGGTAGCAATGGAAAAACAAGGAATAAGCAAAAAAAAATATACAAGCAGTACAACAGCTCTACAAAAATATGACGGCAAACATTAAAACTGGAAATAGATTAACTAGAGAAATTCCTATTAATAAGGGACTAAAACAAGGCTGCTGCATAGCACCTACACTCTTTAAAATATATCTAAATGAGGCACTCTCACTGTGGAGAAGAAAGTGCTGTAATGTGAGCATCCCAATCGGAGATGATAGATTGTACACGATACACTTCGCTGACGACCAAGCCATTCTCTCTGAAGACGAGAGTAATGTAGGATACATGCGTAGAAAACTGGAAGATGAGTACACCAAATGGGGCCTCACAATTAATATACAAAAAACTGAGTAACTAGTTGTAGGAGAGAAACCAGAAAGACAGACAATTTAAATACTTGGGAGTCCTAATAACATCAAAAGCAAGAAGTAGCGAAGAAATACATTCCAGGATTGGCCAAGCAAGATCAGCTACCAGACAGCTACACGGACTATTATGGAACAAAAAAATAACAAAAGACAATAAAGGAAGAATTTATAAAACAATAATAGAAAGTATTGGACTGTACGGTGCCTAACTCTGGGAAATAAACCAAAGAAACAAATCAAAAATTAAGGCCATGGAAAACTACTGGAGACGATGTTGCCAGCTCACTAGACTTGATAGGGTGAGAAACGAAGATATTCGGAGAGAAATGGAAATCGATCTAGACATAATAAACACAATCGAAGCCAAAAACTTAACTGGTATGGACACCTTCAGAGAATGCCGGAAAATAGATGGCCAAAAAAATAAAAAAATGGACTCCGCCAACCAGAAGAAAACGGGGTAGAACAAGTATAGAACTTAATAACGGACTAAATCCACTCAAAATAGGATCATGATCAAAAACAGTGAATTGCAGCAAATCAAAGTGACTGAGATTATAAAAGATAAAGCATGAACAAAGTTCACAGAGATAGAGAACCATCTAAGTCACATAATTCGAGAGATGATGAGATATGACGCTTCAATAGATGAAAGCACAAAAGACTGAAACAAAAAATAATCGAATAATGCCAAACATATACTAGAGAGAAAGTAAAAAACACCAGAAAGAAAACAGAGGAAACATACAAAAACAACATAACAGCACACTAAGAAGACAGTTCGTACCTCGAAAACACTTGTGGACAACCGCAACGAAAAGCGTGTGCCCAGTTGCTTTAAGTGGATAAATTGTATATTATTATATTTTTAATATTATAATATAAACATTTTATGAATTTATGATTTTTCTGTTTCAGACAACCTATAAAAAAGCTAAAAAAATGCATAAAAACGGCCTCGATCACCAAAAAAATACTGACAAAAACCGGCGCAAGCCAACAAAAAAAATTTCAAAAACCCCAAAATCCGGGCACGTCTTTGAATTGAACCTAGCTCAAAGCGGAGACTTGAAGCCCAAGTAAGCAATTTTTAGTTCGCGGATAAGCCACATTAAGATAACAGGATCATAGCGACAATGCGCTGTCTTGAGTTTGATTCGGTTAGGAAACCATGTTTGAGTTCTATTACCCAGGACTCTCACATAAAGAGCATTTGACTGATAGTTGTACCACTATCGCGCATCAGGGTGCTATAGGGGGAAAAGGGATGATCTGGAGCATTTTAGCGCGGTGGAGTAACTCCTGTTTTTATAGGAGTTAATAAAGCTCGCTCCAATGAATTGTTACACCCGATCGTAATTGTTAGGGGTGAACATGTCTCACAGGCTGGGTTTAACTAAATTGCTTGCTTGCTTGAGAGAAAGCGGTTGACTCAAAAATCATACCATAGCAGGCAAGCGGGTTACAAACGTGGGAGGACCTGTACCATCAATATTCACTCTCTGATGGAATACGTCGAGAACGAATTAGATGAAAAAAGATAACAGACCTCGCCATCGACAACATTAGTACCGCGTATGGCACCATCAACCACAGAAAGCTGTTGCAGAAGGTATACGCCACTCTTAAGGACTACCAACCCGTCTAATTAGTACGATACACGATACAGAATTCTACGTGAATTTTGAGAAAAGAAAGAGTCACTACAAAATAGAGGAAGATACATAAGTCTTAAGGCAAGAAAAAGCCGCTGGCGAACTTAAACAAACGGCTTGGCTCAAGTTAGCGTACTACCAACTATACTTTTCAATCTATACACCAATAATAATCCAATTCCAACTTTTACTAAAAACTGCATATATATTACGGAGACAACATCGGCGTCGCAGCCTGAGGTTCAAACTTTAAAGAGATGTTACAAAAATTTGTTCGATTATTGTAAAGAAAAAAATATATCTCGAAGTCACACTAATCCGTTCGGTATCCTACAGGTGCCATTGTAAAAATACCCGAAAGAATTTAGATGCGCCTAACAATATATTAAGGAGTTAAGTTCAACAGCGTAAGCCGTATACTTCTCATTGTTGAAATACGAATGTCCAGTATAAAAGACATCTGCGCACGCAAAAAAAGTAAACACAAGCCTAAACGAAACGAGCAAATACATTATCGACTGCATGAGACCAGCTTCTCTCGATAACAACTCTATAAAATTTTGAACCGCTCTGATCCTGAAGAAAGCGATTTCTTAACGCCTTGCTTGACTAACCACCAGAAACTTCATAAAGCGGGATTCTAAGCAAATGGTCAACGTGGCGTCTGCTGAAGCAATTAAGAATTGGCCAAATACCCACCAAGTTAAACCTTATTAAATTGGACCTGCGAAACATAAATAAAAACTGCGGAAGTGTGACTGCGGAAAAATTCAAAACATAGGACATCTTCATGATCATCATCATTATCTTGGTGTTACAGCCCTTAGAGGGACTTCTCGATCCTTCTCGATACAGCGATCTTCTCCGCATCTTGTGTTACCCCATCCATCCACCTCAGCTTTGGTCTACCCCGTCTTCTCATTCCCACGGGTTGTTCTGTTAGAATCTTTTTTATCATGTTCGATTTAGGGGCCCGGGCTACATGTCCTGCCCACTGCAGGCGGTTTCGCTTAATTATAGTGGTAATATCTTTACCACCAAATGTATGCTTGTAGATATTCTGCAGTTCAAAGTTATATCTACGCTTCCATATTCCGTTCTCACAGACCGCTTCGAATATCTTGCGTAGCACCTTTCTTTCAAAAATGGATACAGCGGATTCATCTGTTTTCGTTAGCGTCCATGCCTCTGATCCATATGTGAAAACGGGGACTATCAGTGTTCTATACAGCCTTATACGAGTTTTTTGAGACAGACGTTTATTAGCTAAGTACTTTGATAGACCATGATAACACCTGTTTGCAATAATTATTCGCCTTGAACATAGGATATCTATTAACCCGCATATATGCAATTTGACACAACCCAATACTGGAGTCAGATACTAAAATCTTCCCTATACAAAACAGTAAATTACGTCCTGTTTATAGTTTTCTTCGTACCGATCGCTATATGTTTTCTACATTGTTGAAAGTGTCTTGAAGTGTACCACTTTCAAAATTATTTAAACAAACTTTAACTTTTACTTTAGAAAATTGTAAAAAGTTAAGTCAAGTTGTTATACTCGATATTGTTAGATAGCACAATAGCCTAAATTAGAGATAAAGTATTTCTACGTATGTGTTGACGAAAGAACTCATCCTCCAGAAACATATATTTTATGCATGTCCAAGTTCTGATATTGCAAAGCCATGAAATGACTCTTTTACCTACTCCTCTTTGGCGCTCTATCTTCTCTTCAGTTATTAATCCAAGCAGGATATATTTTGTTATATTATGTGGCCTAAGTACTAGGTCATTATTGTTTTAATCGTTGTTGCGATTACTCCATCAAAATGTTCTCTATTCTCCTTCATTCTTAGTAATTATTGAACGTTTATGCATGACTAAGTTCTGATATTGCAAAGCCAAGAAATGACTCTTTTACCTACTCCTCTTTGGCGCTCTATCTTCTCTTCAGTTATTTTTCCAAGCCGGTTATATTTTGTTATATTATGTAGCCTATGTACGAGGTCATTCTTGTCTTAATCGTTGTTATAAGTTGTACCTCTCTATTTATGGTATTTAATACTGTTCGATTCGTAATGTGTTGTGTCCATGATATTCTGAGCATTCTGCATTCTGGACTCTATCAAAAGCCTTTTGATAGTTGATGAAACAGATATATATTTTATCTGGTAATCGAGGCATTTTGAATGAGTGTTTGAGTCGCAAACAGCGCCTCCCTTCCCAAGGCGTTGTATCGCATATTGTACCTTTACGTTTATAATTAGGGGTCCTCTCACCCCTCACGTCGATAAATGTTGCAATTCAAGTCTGTCATCAGCATAGGATTTTTCGATAAATTTTTCCCATACTTGTATTTGTTAGCTTCTTTCTATAATGATATAATTCTTTGTTGTCACCTAGAGTGGGTCTATTATAATTCTTGTTATTATTGGAGGATTCTTTTAATTTTTGTAGAGGTTGAATGTAGTATGTTTGTTGTCTAGGTACGTAATGAGTTTTAACTAAAGTTCCTTTAATATGATATTGATATTTAATAACATTATAGTAGAATATTCTATAATTAGCGAATAGAATATAGAATAACATGATCTATTTTATTTATTGTAAGTCCGTCTGTGTGATTTCCAGTTGTCGTTCCGTTCAACATTCCGCGCAAAGTTAAAATTATACAATCGATTAAAAGAATCTAATAAGCATAAAAAAGAAAAACATTTTTGAAATTACAGCTTCAAAAATATTTAAAATTCGCTATTTCTCGAGCAACAAATTTTTTCATTTTAGTGGGCTGTGATATATTCGTGTTTTTCGTATTTTTATTACTCCTGTCAATTGCAGGAAGGATTGTATTTAAAACAATATGATTCATGTAATGCATGACTCGATGTATAACTTCTTCAAAATAAACACGTTTTGACATGTTTTCAGGAGACATTATGTACATATAGACCAAACAAGCATCTGCGGTTGCTAATACTCTTTTTACTGATAGACTAAATAATTCAATATCCTTCTGAAATAAAAATAATGTACTAATTTAAGTATTTTACATCTTTAGGTATATATTTGACTTCCACTCAGTCGACACATTATTATTGTAAATGAAAAGTTATTTTGTAAACTAGGTCCAATATCTTATTTTTATTATTATAAGCAGAAATATAATATTTTATTGTTACAGTGTAAAGTCACCAGCAAAGTAATATACTATTATTACGCGACGCCAATAATCGTAATCAAAATTTCCGAGAAGTTATAATGGGCACGTGAGTTCGGCTATATTTCGCCACTTACGGCGCGTGATTTTGGATTACCAATTTGACTTATTATTTGCCAGTTTATAGTATTCTGTCACATCAGTTAACTTAGTTCATAACAAAGTATAATCTTAATTAAATATTATTTTAAAAAATACAAACAATTATTTACATATTTTAATTTTATTAAAAATATATTAAGTCTCCTAAATACTTACAGTCTCCCCGAAGCCACACCTGCATTTGGCTCTCCTGTAGAAGCTGCTGACTAGCATGAGCTTGGAAAATGACTCTGGACATTAAACCATCTGTAAAGTTTCTTGGAAAGTAAAATATAGCCCAAATGTCGCCATTTTCAAGGGCATTTTGAGCATCTTTAGGGGTTACATAGTACTCTTTTTCAGTGTTTTTTGCTATCTTTTCCAATAACGAACATGTTAGGTTTAAAAAATAACATCCAGGAGTGTAATTACATGGCTAAAACATTAACGAATCGTAGGTTTTGAGTTGTAAAAATTACGAATAATGTAGGGTTTTAACCTAAATGTTAAATTTCAATTAAGACTTTTTGTACAATTGAGGAGGTTGGTATCAAAGACGGAAAGATGAAAGAAACAAAAAAAAAACTTTTTCAAAATTATTTGGTACTCTACCATTTAAAATTAATGGTACAGTCTTATAGAATTTTTCACAAAATAATTTAAATCTGAATTGCTTTAGTTTCAAAAGCGGTTAGAACATGCAAGAAATTGAATTTTAAAACGACCAGCAATTTCAAAAACGGACAGTTCTAACTTGATTTTGTTTCAGAATCGGACTACTCCGTTACAACCAATCAAAAAGTAATATTTCCATAAAGATTCCATACACACTGGAAGAAACCTACTGAGAGTGCCATTGTGTTTTAAGTTTATATCAGTTTACGACGTTATTTCAACAGTTTTCGTGTTTTTTTCATCTTATTTGCGTTATTACTTTTTTTTGTTTCTTTTTTGAAAAATGCAACTGAACGTAGTTAAAGCATCTAAAAATAAAACCAGGAAGAGATTAGTCGACAAAAATAACAAATGTAAACGGGAACAGGATAAGATTAATAGGTAAGTTAGCATATCGTCTGTGTATATTAATTTACGTCTTGTGATGGTTTATGTTATCTACGAATACCGTTTTTGGTGTTAAATTACAAATGTATAAATTTTAATGTGTATTTCTGCGATGACTAAGCATGTGGTTTTTTGTTTGCTTCAGGTAATCTGCAGAATCATTTCCAACATATCCGACTTGTAAGCATAGAAGTCATAAAAAAGCTTGCCAATGGGAGATAGTGTTTGAAATGATAAGAGTAAGTACTAGTAAAGGTATTTATAATTCAAATCAGTCATACTGGTAAACAGTCATTAACTAGTCGTTAATTTTGCGACGTTGGCAAAGTTAAAAATAGTTCTGCTAACTAAGAACTGATAAAAACTGGAGTTTTGAGCGGTTAAAGCGAATCTGGTTCTTTTGCCATCCTTAGAATCATATATGATGCACACGGACAGTGATGATAACGCATTACAAGTCAAGAAGAGAAAATATAGAGGGTGAACTTTAACTTACCTCCAAAACAAAAAAAGTTGCCAGAACCACAAGCAAAAGAAAACCAAGGGAAGAAGATTCAGAGAATGAGGACGACGTTATGAGTATGTTCAAGAAGGTGCTGGGGAAACTGAAAGAAATCAGGAATGAAAATAAGGAATATAGACAGGAAACAGGAATTACAAACAGGAAAAAGAATTGGAAGAATCAAAAAACAAATTATTCAAGGTTGAAAACAAAGTAGAAAGAATTGAAAAACAGATGAAAAGAAATAATAGAGTAATTACGAGTCTACCAATAGTGGCAAAAAATTAAGCACTCTTAAAAAATAACGTAAAATAATTTATACAAAAGCATCTAAAGGGGATAGCGAAGTAGAATCTGCAATGAAGCTAAACAACAATATATTTTTGGTACAAATGAAGGATTATGGCAAAACAATTAAGGTAATGCAATGATTGCAATGGCATAAAATAGGAATAGGCCGGACATGGTACTTTCAAACGAGAAAATTTCAGAAATATGGACCCAAAAACGGCATATAGTAGTAGAAAAAGAAAAAGATATTCCATTATGCCAATGGACACTAGCTATGAACAGGAAAATGAGTTTGAACATAAATAAGAAAACATACCTAAATATTGCAACATGGAATGTACAAGGAGTATACGAGAAGGGAGCATAATTTAGCTAATAATCGAACTTAAAAAATATACAATACATACACATTGTAGCAATAAAAGAAATACACTTAACTGGAAACAACATTGAAAAGATTAGCCCATACACGTTTTATAAAAGAGGATGGACGAGAATATAATAAAGAAGAGAACATGATAACGCTGATAAATATACATGCTCCAACAGAATAAAAAAAAAGAAGTGAAAGATAAATTTATAAAGAATTAGAGTCATTGTCTGAAGAAATGCCTAACAATGTATGCCCTAAAAGTAAACATTTGAATACAAATGATAACGGCCAAAGATTGATTACAGTCGCAATTAAAAACAGAATGAAAATAATGAGTACGCATTTCAGGAGAATATATATATATATATATATATATATATATATATATATTAAGGAATGAAACTAATCAAACAGACTACGTCGTAATACAAGAGAAGCTTGCCAATTTAATAACAAATGTGAAAACGTGCAGAGCGGCAAACTAAGATCATTTTTTGGCTAGAATTAATATGAGAGCAATAATTAAAAAGCATAAACGGAAAAAGAAAGTACAACGTTAATTTAATTTGGAAAAACTGCGAAAATTGTGGTAGCGCAGTATTATCAAAATGATATTCAAGAAACCTACGCCAAACAAGTACTACTGTGAGTAACATACAACAAATGTTTTTGAAATGACAAACACTATAAAGGAAGCAATGTTGAAAAACATACCAAGAAAAAAGGATTTAGAAAAAACCACTGGTTTTATGACGAATGTAATACAGAGTTAAAAATTAACTTTTAAGAAATTAGATTTGAGATTAAAAAGTTTACCATCGCAAAAACAAGACGACCTAGAAAACGAACAACCAAAAAAGTAAAGAAAATCCCAAGAAAGCGGAAACGAAATTATGAGGATGATAAAATAAAACGTATTGAAGAAAATTATAAGAAAAATAAAATAAATAATTTTTAGAAAGTGGTCTTCTTCTTCTTCAAGTGCCATCTCCACAGCGGAGGTCGGCAATTATCATAGCTATTCAGACTTCTAAGACGGCTGCTCTGAAAAGTTCATTTGATGTACATCCGTACCACTCTTTCAGGTTGCACAGCCATGACATTCTACTCCTCCCTATGCTTCTCTTTCCTTGGATCTTTCCTGCATAATCAGTTGGAGCAAGGTGTATTTCTCTCCACGTGTGATATGTTCGAGATATTCTAATTTTCTTTATTTTTATTGTATTTAAAATTTCCATTTATTTATTAATCCTTCCCAGAACTTCTTTGTTTGTGACGTGTTCTATTCACGATATTTGTAGTATTCTTCTGTACAGTCACAGCTAGAATGATTCCAGTTTTTTTATTGATGTCGCATTTAAGGTCCAAGATCAAATTCAATGCGCGAAGAAAAAATTATAATGTTCTTAAACCTCAAATAGTAATGGAAGAAATATTGAAGCCACAAGAGAAGAAATTAAAGAAATAATAAAAGATATGAAAAATCAAAAAAGTCCCAGGATGAGCGGCATTGTGGTAGGGAGCTTAAAATATGGAGTAGAGGTCTTAATAAACCAATTTAGTAAGCTAATACTAGAAGTGTGGGATGCCTAAGAAATGCCTTAAGAATTAAATAAGTCGATTATAATTAATATTAGAAATATATATTAAGAAGAATCTAGGAGAATACTAGTTAGGATTTTGGAAAGAAAGGTCAACAATCGACCAAATTTTTATGCTAAAACAAATCCCTTTTCAATTGCTATGAAAACAAGATTTCAGCACAAGTACTTTTCATTGATAACAAACCACCTACGACAGACACCACCTACTATAGACAGAAACAAATTAATAAAAACAATAAAAGAATTACATGTGCCAAAAAAAAATAGTAAGACTGATGAAAATGACAATTACACAAACCAGTTATGCTGTAAAATGCAACGGTACACTCTCTGAAGAATTCGAAGTGAAACAAGGCTAAAAAGACCCGTTGTGTACATTTCTGTTTAATATAGTTCTAAAAAAAGTTGTAAAGGTTAGTGGGGCACTATTTTATACAGGGAACACCAATGCTTAGCATACGCTGATGATGTGGTTATAATTTTGGGAATGGAAAAGAACTATCTTATATCGCAAAAAGACTGATTCGGAAAAGCTCTAAGATGGGACTGAAAGCTAATATTAATAAATCAAAGTACATGGGGATCTCGAGAAAAAAAAAACAAATACCAGGCGATCCTTTAAATTGGAGGTGGAGGATGAATCTGTTGTAAAATTTGAGAAGGTGAAGGAATATATGTACTTAGGTACTCTTATTAATCAGACATGTAAGGAATAAACTGAAATCAACCTGAGACTGACCGAGAGCAACAGGTGGGCTGGAGCCATGAGCAAAATAATTAAGGCCAAAGATATATTTGGTAATACAAAAATAAGAGTATACAAAACTATAATTAGACCAAAAATGATATACGCAGCCGAGACATTGACTATGAACAAAACCATACAAAACAGATTGAAAGAATGGGAAAGAAAGATACTTCGCAGGAGAAGACGAACTAATGCAGAAGTGTACCATTTGTATGCTAACCCTAGAATACCAAAAGTGGTGAAAAAACGTGGACTAGAATAACTCGGACATCTGAAGACAATAGACTAATCAATAATATTGCTTGGAGAGAACCTGGGGGCTCAAATCGAGGATGACCAATAAAGAAATGGATTGATGTAGTGATGGAAGATGTCAAAGAGATGGGAATCAGAGATTGGAAGCTGATAGCTAAGAATAGAAAACGATGGAGATTATCCATCGAGCAATGGGTCTAAAAGGCCTGTTAACACTGTACATACATACATAAGAGAAGATAGCAACAACAGTGTTACTTAAATCTGTATCACGAAAATAAACATCAAAACAAGAGATTATTCAAAAATTAAAAATTAAAATAAAAGAGTAATAAAGAATAATAAATCACTAGGAGGAGATGGTATTACGGTTGAAATTATTAAAAAAGGTGGGAAAGTTATACGAAAGGATTTTGCATATCTTGCAGTCGATGTGTCAATAAAAAAATTTTCCCTAAAAACATATTAGACATACTCATACATATTCCATCAGATGAGATACTAATAATGGAAGGTAATTTTATTGTACACATAGATCTATAAAAGAGAAAATTAGAAGCAAAATATAGAGGACTAAATGCTATAACTAAAAATATTGCTGGAGATATGGTAAAATTATCAACCACATTAAAGACCGTTATTAAAAATAACCAGAGAAGAGTATTTCTATAATATTAAGAAAAATTCAA